ACACAGAAAATCAGAAAGATACCCTTATCAATTGGATAATGTTAGCAATTGAAAAATAAAATCCTGGTGTATATTTAGTAATAGATAACCAAGGATTTAGAAGTAGAGTTAAATGATTACATGGTTTTGTGTTTGCTTTGTATATACTTTGTATAAATTCATGATAGAAATTTACAGCAGACATGGCATAGAGAATAAGTTACGTAAACAATTTCAGCATTTTGGAACGATTTTCTTGAATAGTTTTTGTTACAGTGTTTTCTACATAGAGTGTGTAGTGCACATTTTCTAAAACTGATTTAGAAGTGTGACTGTGAAACATTTCATTCAGTTAATTTGTCAAAAATGTTTCCCAAAGCTGTATAATTTTATGGTTCAAATGCATTTCTGACAGTTCTGAATGTTCAAAATTCCTTTTTCCAGATTATGCTTTTTCATTGGTAGTTTTAAGTATAATCTTACATAAGCTATACATAAGTATAACCTATGTCACTTTATTGTGGGGTCTGTGAAAGTTTTAGTAATGTAAATTTACTTCTGGCTTTTACACAGATAAACAGTGTATATTCATGTAAAAATTTACCTTGATTGAATCTAGGTAGGTTACTGTTAAGCAAGTACAGAGAAATGTAAAAGTAAGTTATCTTCCTGTCACAGACAGAAATAGAAATTATAACCAAGTTAATGCTGTGAACAGTTCGAAGAAGTTTGACCTTTCCAACTGAAATGTACTGGAACTTTGTTCCGATTTTAGCTAAAAATGTGTGGAAATGACAATATCTCCAATTAGAATATGCGGATTATAGCTCTGTGTTAACTACTTAAACTGGTTTCCTCATGGGTAAGAAAGGGAAAGTACTGCCTCCTTTCACTGTTTCCTGGCTGTGTTTGAGGGCCGAGGTACTGCGTGTGAAGCACTTTCAGAATTGAGATGCGCTGTCACACGTGAAACATTTATTCTAGAGTGACACTAAGGGTCAGACAGGGCGTTTTCATGAAGTGTACCGCAGTATGGTGCCAAGGGCTAGTACAGTCTCACTACAGGTGTGTTTGGAATGTGGACCTACCTCATAGCCTCGGCTCTCCTTGGTAGTAAGACTGGTGTGTGTTCTGATCTATTCTACAAGTTTCTAATTCTTCTGTTTTCAGAGGTAACATTTTCTCTCATCTTTGTAATAACATGAGCCGAAAAGACGGATAGGTTCTAAAACGCATTTAGCATGTGCATAAAGATGTTTATACATTTTCTAAATATGCAAATGATAGCAAACTACAGTGGTGCCTTCAGCTTTATGGTTGGTTTTGGATTTTGTGTACTGATTTCCATGCGTCTTTTAGGAAATACTGTTCCCAAGTACTCCCTTTTCATTCTGGAACTTAAAAGATTTTTGGAAACACACTAAAACGTAAATAGTGTATTAATTTCTGAGGTTTCTAAAACTTACACAGCAAAGTTTCCCTGGAGAGTAGAATTAAGAAATTATTGGGTTTTGAGGTATTTTTTGAAAGCACAGAATGACACTACTCTTAATCCCCAGACGTACTTGCATGAAGCAGATTTCCTTTGTTTTTGACTTCGTGTTTAAAAAGGGAGCTGTATTATTTGTGTTTAATTTTCTTATTCATTCTTTGGTACTCTTAAGTAGTCAGCTTTATTAAAAGCTGTGTTAACAGAATCTGTCTTTGAGCAGAGAAATATTTTCTAGGTTGAAAAAAAAATGTAGAAATCTGTCCTTTAGTAGCTCTTCCTGCAGTCAGAGTAGGTTCCAAACTCATTAGGCTTTACTTTGCTATTTAAAGTCTTCATTGTATTGATATCAATTTGCTTTTTCTAATTCTTCTCAGTGTGTGTGTGTGTTTGAAAGAGAGGGAGAGAATAGGAGGGAGGAAGGGACAAAGGCGGTAGAGACAGACAGCACTAGAGATACAAATGCATGTATCTGGGGTCTGGAGTGGTAGCCTAATGGCTAAAGTCCTTGCCTTGCATGTGCCAGGATACCAGATGGGCACTGGTTCATATCCTGGTTGTTCCAGCTCCCTGCTTGTGGCCTGGGAAAGCAGTGGGGGATGGCCCAAGCCTTGGAACCCTGCACCTGTGTGGGAGACCCAGAAGGAGCTCCTTGCTCCTGGCTTCAGGTTGGCTCGGCCCCCGCCTTTGCGGCCACTTGGGGAGTGAACCAGCAGATGGAAGATCTTTGTCTCCCCTTCTCTCTGAAAACCTGATTTTCCAATTAAAAAAATCATTAAAAAATTTGCTTTTTCTATTTGCTGGTTCACTCCGCAAATTTTTGCAGTATCCAAGACAAGAACAGGCAGAACTCAGGAGCCAGGAACTCTGTGTGGGTCTCCCCAGTGGGCAGCAGGGACCCAAAGTCTTGGATTATCATCTGTGGCCTCTTGGTCTAAACATTGGCAGGAAGCTGGATTGGAAGTCAGGTGCTGGGACACCGGCCATGCTCTCTGGCAGGGGATGTGTATGTCTGGAGCGATGACTTAATCACTTGATCTGGTGCCGACCCTTTATTTGATTTTTTTTATGTGAAAAATTTGTTTATCGGAGGCTTTTCTGCACTATTCACCTAAACAGGACAGCCTCCCTTATTTTGTCATGACGTATCTCCACCTTTTCAGGTCTCGAGGTCATATTCTTTTTGAAGCTTTTTTGCAGATCTAATGAGTGTAATACCTTGTTATTCAACTTTGAAGATTTTATCTTGTGTGCAGGTGTCTAGCATATAGTATGTGTTCAGGGGCCATATTTTGGTTTTTTCCAGTTACAGGGCTTAGCATGTGCAGAGAGGGTCACATAGTAACTATGCAATAAGTGGTAAAGTGTTACCTTCCCTGGGATTTTTATTTCTCAGTTGAAAGTCTCCCTTAAGATCTAAATAGACTGACCTCGATCTGCCCCTAGGAAGTAGGGTATAGGCCATCTCAGAGTCAGAGTGGTGTTTGTAGAACAATTCTCATTTTGGAAAAAATCTGATAAAAGTATTTAAAAGATGATAGGGAAGTAAACGATGTTTAGTTACAATACATCATCTTCATATCAATTTTAGTTTGATGTTTTTGTGAAGAATTCTAACTTTTCCATAGTACTGGATTTAATTCTGCCTTTTTGGTTTTGTTTAGTATGAACAGAGCCTGAGGGTGATTTTCTGTACACTTTTGGACTTTTTAGGCAAAGCAGCATGTTATTTCAGTGGTATGGCAGTATATAGCATTCCTTTGCTGGTTGCTTCTCTTTCAAGATTTCTTTTGTTTACTTAGAGGGGAAGAGTCAGATATCCGTCCACTTGTTCACTCCCCAAATGGCTGCAATTACCAGAGCTGCACCGGGCCGAAACTGGGAGCCAAGGCCTTGTCTGCAGTCCCCCAAGTGCATGGAAACCATCATCTGTTGACATCAGCTGGAAGCTAACCACAAGTGGACCTGGAACTTGAATCCAGGCACCTTGACATAGGATGAAGGCGTCTCAAGCAGTGCTCTGCTTTCCAGATACCTGCCCCAATTTAAGCACTTCCACTGCCCTTCATAGTTGACTTGCGGCTTCAGATGGAAAATGGTCTCAAAATTCTTCCTGTCCCAGAAGCAGCTGATGCCAAGATCCAGGCAGGTTAATGAAATAACTAATGATGATCAAATGTAAGGTGATAGGGAGGGATGTGGACTTGAGTGAAACGGAGAGTGTAAACCCCACAGAAGGGCAACTGATAGTCCTTTCCTTTTTATTTTTGCCCTGAGAGGTTGTAAGAATACCATAGTAACACTACTCACATTTTTGGAAAGAACCTGGCATGTGTATCTTAATATAAAAATTATCATTTTAAAAATACAACTACGACAAAATGTAAAAATTAAGGACTAGATATATCTGTGGACTGAACACAGTCTACAGACCATCGATGTGACCTACTATGTCACATAGTACAGTTGAAGGATACTAGGTTTGTGCCATTACAGACTTATTTTGTGCAGTGATTGTTTTTCCAAAAAACTCACACAATTTTTACTTTGTTTCTTAAATTCCTGGCTACTTTGCACTTCCACAGAATGGAGCAATGTGGCCTGTGCCCCCTACTGAGGGCTGACTGAGTGGGAACACCACTAAAACCTAAGAGAATAACAGAACAAAGCTGCTAGGTCCAGTACTTCTGTACCTGTTTGGAAATGACTGAGTTCTTAGGAAAGCCAGAAGCCATGGTTTGGGTGTGATTTATCCCTCAAAGCTTCATGTGTCACTAGCTGTCTCCCCACTGTGGTGATGTTAGTAGGAGGTAGAATCTTGATGGGAGTGTACTAGGATGTGGCTGAGGCCAATGCTGCGGGGATGGCTTCCATGAAAGGCATTAACAGGGTTCTCCATAAACCTTAGTTCTTGTCAGGAGAGCAAGCAGTTACAGAAGAGCAAGTCTGGGCTCCGTAGACAGTGAACTGGCTCTCCGTGTCAACATGCGAGCTCTGATCATGCATGTGCTAGCACCCCAGCGTAATGTCAGTGGGCCCTTGCCAGAGCCAGCCAGCGCTGTTTGTACTTTTAACTTCCAAGTCTGTGAGCTGGAGAAACAAACCTCTGTTTGTATAACGTACGTAGACTCAGGTACGTCACTATAGTAATGGAAAATGGACTGATGCCCAGCATGAATCCTTCATCCTGCACAGTGAATACTGACAGGGACAAGTTGCTATAAATATAATTGACATGTAGGAGAAGAAGAATCTCTTTACAGCTTAGCAGGGGAGTCTGAAAAACAAAGAAGTTGGATTCAAATATATAGGTTAAAAACTATCATTATTTACTTTAAAAATTTGATAAATAAGCATAGCAAGGACACTTCTTAGTTTGCTGCCAATGTGGAAATGACTGTTAATCTGCATTTTACTATTTTGAAAATTAAGAGCGGGATGGATGATATTACTGTGATGTTGTAAGGAAAACTAGTAACTTATTTTGGTGGATATAGACATTTTCATAGAACGCCTCAATACAATGAATACATCAAAAACCATACTTTATTTTATGTATACCAATACAATTTACATATTAAATAACACTATAATAGAATGATTTGATATAGTCTTAAACAGAAGAAAAAAGGGAAAAAATTCAGGTTATAAAACCCCTCCCCCTGTTGAAACAAATAAAAAAAAATCACTTTTTCCATGTGGGTCAATGCAACAAATGTATTCAGTGACTAATTATGTAATTCCTATTGCACAAGTGATAATTTAATCAAAATGGGAAACCCAACTTTCACAATCACTGCCTCAAAGAAATAACACATGTTGGATTCTTTTTGGAATGCAAAGATGGTTCTTGCTACTTCAATACACAGAAATTTGAACTCACATATTCACCACCAAAATGGAAAAAAAAAAACTATGACAGAGTTGAAACTAGAAAAAAATTAGCTTTATATGAAAATATAAAATTCTATGATTTTATACCATAGATACAAAGTTCCCAGAAGATGTTTACCCAAGCAACAAAATATTTACAATTTTAATGATTTTTAGGAATTTTACAATGAAGTCAAAGCAATATGAGTCAACACGAAGGCTGGGTTCTTTAGAAACGATGGCTGCTTGCTAGTTTTAAATGCCTTACCAGAAAAGGAGTCACTACCCCAAATGTTGGAGAGTTGCGACGTTTTATAAAATTGTCTGTCTCCTTTTTTGGAGATGTTTATTTCTTAAAACTCAAGATATTTTTTTTTCTTGAAATTAATTATCCTCTGTAGAAAAATGCTTCCCTTTGCAAATATTTAACAAAAATACTAAAAACAGTTTAACAGCTAAGACAAAAGTAGTGGCCAAATATCATTATTACAATTCCTTTCTAATTGTAGTATGCCTTCTTTCTAGAGATAAGAAAAGCCACTGTTGTGTATGTTAAATGACAACAAAGGGGAAGTGCAAAGGGTTAAGTGAAATTAGAGCTGTTAAAAAAAAAAAAGAGCAGGCATTTTCCCTTCATATAAAAATTCACTGGCACCATTTGAACATAACTTTCAGAATATAGGAGTTGAAAACGCATTTTCCGTAACAACCACTGAAGTCTGTTCGATTACTTTTTCTGAAATTATGATTTTTTTTAAGGTTTTTTTTTTTTTTTGCTTAGAATTAGTAATATGTATCTTTGGTAAATTGGTATCTGCGTTTTAGTTTTAAATACAATATATATGCATTAAAAAAGTCATAACAAGGCAGTTGTGCTGTGTCCCTATAAAATAATTAAGGTTATTTATTGATTGCAGTATGTGACTCTGGGCTAAAAACCTCCCAACAGCCTGACCTTGAACACCTTCTTCAACTTTGTTAGACTTTTTTTTTTTTTTTACTTTAAATGGGCTTTGAAACTATAAAGCATAAAAATCAGGAAAAATCAAATAAACTGCCCTTACTTCAGATCTGTTTGTTGACATTTTTAAGCATCACGGCTATGGCTATCGGATGCAAGAATGAGTTCCCTTGATGGCAACAAGTGCGTCTTCTCTGATGTCCAGCATGACTGACTACTCTGTCCTATTTCAGTTCAGGTTTATGATGCGTGCATTTTGCTTGTCTGGAGCTATATTTACAGACACACGCAAATACACACACACACACACACACACACACACTGTAGCTTATAGATAGTACACATTAATTTGCAGTAGCTATTTCCTTTCCCCCTAAGTACAAGCGCCAATACCCTTGTTATTAAGCAGTGTGCTTATGTCTCAAAGACAGTATTGTCTTTGAAATGTTTTGCCTATGGAAAGATACATTTTTGTGAATAATAAATGACTAATAATTGGAAACACTGGTGAAAGTAAGGCAGAGGTACAGCTGACTTCATTGAAATGCGTTTGGATTCCTTTGGCAAGGTGGGCAAATTAGCGACTTCTTGCAGGTTAGTGGGGTCAGGATATGGAAACTGGTTCAAGCCTGCTGTCAGCATGAAAAGAGCTCACAGGGAGCTCCTTAGCCATCTTGACAATGTGTTTTCCACTTTACTGGCTGGCTGTTTCCTTTATCCTGATTCTGACACCCTTAAGCATCACAGAATTGTGTTGGACGGTATACACCTCTATGAACTGAATCCAGAAGGGAGTGCTTGAAACCTGTCTTCCAACCGCTATATACTTTCATGAAGAAAAACTAGAGTGACCAGTGGATCTCCAACTTAATCTTTCCCTATGTCGATCCCACTGGGCCCTCGACTGGAAAGAGTGCTCAAACCCATACTCTGTACAGCTGAATTCACTTACTTGGCTAACAACTACAACTCTGGCCTTCATCCTGCTACCTGTGAGCCTTGTAGCAGCCGTGAGGTTCAGGCTTAGCTGCGGGGGATGGAGCTTCGTGTGGCACCTCTGCTGAAACCCGAAGGCTTGAAAAGGTATCCCTGTCGTCTAGCACAACTAACAGCAGACGCCAAACACCAAGCGTTTGTCTGTTTTGAAATGAGGGCTCTTTTGTTGAACTTAATGTGATGAACAGATGAGCTTAACCTGGTCTGTTAGGCAGTTCTCCAAATCTCTGTTGACTTGGCCTATGCACATAAACCCTTGGACTTGGCCTGTAGACTCTCTCTGGGTCCTCCAGCTCAGTATAATAAAGCGTCCATGCTCATGGTGACTCATGCTTACATGCCTACCCAGACAGTTTTGTAGCAGCTACTGTGGCCTCTTTGTTGAAGGTTACAGCCATAAAAGGCATTTTAAAATGAGTAAAATTCTGTTGTTCTTTGCAGGCCCAGTTCTGGGGCTCATTTCAGTTCTGACAGAAGCCATCTCTCAGAAGCAGACATACAGTGGAAGAAATGAGTCAGGGTAAGTAGATTATTTTTCTAACAGACTCTGCTGATATTTCTTGCCAATGTTTCTAATTTTTCTAGTGGGCACTGCAGTATGAACATAGCTCCGGAAGGTGATGCAGAGAACTTCTCTGGCTTCTAATGATTACAGGCTGCTTTTCCTGAAGGGTAGCTGTTCTTGAGCCTGAATTACACAGAACCAAACGAAAATGTCTCTTCGATACTACCTGAACATGTAGATAACACCTGTTTTGCATAATTCTGGTTTCCTCCCTCCAAATTAGATTTGCCATGTGTGGTAGTTTTAGATAGTCCCAAAGTTTTAATAATACAGTGTTTATCCAATTAAATAGTAAGGGTGTGTAAAATCAAGAAATTTATTATCAAACATTTGGCAAAAAGGAAAGAAAAGAATGTTGACTATATAGGTAGTTTTTTATTAGACTTCTGTGTGAGTAATAGGGAACTTCTAAAAGGACTAGTTCAAAAACTATACACCAAAAATGTTCATTCTTCCTGTCATGACGTGTGGTATGATAAACCAAGAAACATTAGTGAAGAGTAAAGGAAGATCTTCCACCTGTGTCAGATATTCCCATCTCTGTTGTTAGATAGCCCTGAACTTGGGGTGCAGCTACCTCAGAATCGAAATGGAAATAACACACTGTCCACATAGCTACTGTGAAAGCTGTAATACAGAGAGATCCTTTATTTTGACACAACTTTTTAAGCTTCGAATAACTTTGTAACTTAATAGGAAATGTTGTTCTGAAGCAACTGTGAGGCCTCCTGATTTTGATCTCTTAGCCATCATCAGTGGAATTGTATTCAAGGCCATGACCTACTCAACCTTCCGTGTAGCACTCAATAGCATGCTATTCTGCAAAAGTAAATTCACATCCACTCCTTGCAATTACAGATGGCATACGGTATTGAGCAGTGCCTAGGGAAAAAAATAACACCAGGAGAGGACAACTCAGGACAGTCGAGCAATGCCTGCTAGTAAAATGCAACTGCTTGAGCAATAAAAAAGTAAAAGCAAGAATCACTGTCAGGACAAAGACCTGCACTGTACTGAACGAAAAAAGTAGCATGTGTTATGGAATGTCACGTCAGGGTTTGCTTTAGTATTAGATTATAGGCAGTAACACTGATCAGATAGTGCAAACTAGGTAAAACTGCGTTTCACTGTGTGAAATGAACAGAGGTGCAAATGCTCAGTAGGATACCATTAAGACATAAAATGGCAAAAAATAAATATCAAAACTTTTATCAGTGTAAAAAAGTAACTGTGTTATTGTATAACCTAGAGTCTGGCAAAAAAGGCCTCAAAAAAGTTCTCAGTCTTCAAGAAGTTTACAAATTCAGTGCCCTCTCAGGATTGCAGTCACACCAGAGACTCCATGCTCTCCGCAGGGTCTGACTCATCGGCAATTAGAACAGCACCATTTGTGTCCACTGTCATGGGACCGTTTCCATTTTCTTTCGTGCTGACCAAGCTGAGCATAGCCTTATAGACAAACTGGTATTGTTCCTGAAAAACAGGAGGAAGAGAGTTTGAGCCAAAGAACAGGTTGATGATTCCCCTTAAGGCAGCAGCTATGACAGATATTCTAGAGAGACTGAAGATATTTGAAACTGAAATACTTGATAATTAAGTTCCTTACTTTGTTCATGTCCTTTGCTCTGCTGGGACCAACCAGTTCTATGTGTTCACACAGGTCATTAACAATGGACTGTCATTCTGAAGCAGAGTTTCTCACCGTCAGCATTACTTGGCATTTGGGCCAGGTATTGAGTTACCCCGGGATATCTTGTGCACTCTAGGATGTCTGGCAATATTTCTAAACCGTGGTCACTAGACACCTGACTGCCGTCTGCATCTGTGACCATCAGAAAAGTGTCCTGACACAGCCAAACATCCCACAAAGAGCATCGTCACCCTCCGTTGAGAAGCACTGCTCTAAATTGTGAGTTTTGTGTTTTAACTGATGTTGCCCAGGTTTTACAAATAAGTTACTTACAATGTCTGTGAATACACCAGGCCTCATAAGATTGATCATTTTTGCAACCTGGAAAACATCCACAGCGTTTTCATTCTCCAGTTGCTGGGATAGGGTGGTAAGGGCACATAACATTCCTGCTGAAACTGCTCCGTACCTGGGGGGAAGGAGGGAAAGGATGCTGTCAGATTTACTGAGACTGAATCCACTGGGATGAAATCACCAGCAGGCATTGCCTTGAAAAGAAACCAAGAATGTATTAACATCTAAAATTGCTGCACAGGGAAGGATTTAGAAGCTAGCATGGAGATGATACTTGCGTATGACATCTTCCAAACTAGTTGTCAGATGTGTTTACTCAATACCTAACATAAAATGGGAGTATCCAAAGTGTATAGATCCTTCTTTCTCTCTGCCTTTGGAAAAATGCAGACTAGAGAGAACAATAGAAGATTTAATGTTGGGCTGAGGTGGGTGGTACAATAGAAAAATGGTAAGACTTGGCTGTAGACTTTTGGACAAATGACAATGTATCAAGGGCTATGAGGAATTTTTTTTTAAGATTTATTTTTATTGGAATGTCAGATATACAGAGGAGAGGAGAGAGAGAGAGAGAGGAAAATCTTCCATTCACTCCCCAATCAGCCACAACGGCTGGAGCTGCACCCATCTGAAGCCAGGAGTCTCCCCTGGGTCTCCCACATGGGCCTAGGATCCCAAGGCTTTAGGATGTTCATAACTGCTTTCCCAGGACACAAGCAGGGAGCTGGATGAGAAGTGAGGCTGCTGGGATTAGAACCAGCATCCATATGGGATCCCGGCGCTTTGAAGGCAAGACGACGAGTTTAGCTGTTAGGCTACCATGCTGGGCCCTGAGGAATTTTTTTTTTTTTTTTTAACAATTGCCCAAAGCTAAACTGAGTTGACAAAATAGGAAAAATCATCAATGGAAACATGTGGTTCAAAACCATGTGACAGAATTGTCAAAGATAGTTTCATATTAACTATCGTTGCATTGAAGTGCAATACAAATGAGGATTCTTTTTACAAAATTCTTGGGAAAATAGATGTAGTTCTCTTTGCTTCACATATACAAAGGCCAGATTCTTAACTGCAGTTTTTATGGGAACCTATGATGTCACATAGCCTCCGTCTAGGCTGCGTGGCACTGCAGCTAACTGTAGGGATGACATTACAGTTCAGGTGCCATGTCCCACTGTTCTCTTAGAAACCACTGAGTAGAGGAACGTGTGGAATCATGTCTAATTGAAATACTGTGCTGGCTTTACACGTTCAATGTGGGCACAAATACGTCCAAGTTGCATTTTATCTACAAGATCAACTTCACAGGTAAAATTTGGTATGCATGCCATATTTTGGCTTATTGGTACATTTAAATATTGTGCAATGTTTCAGCCGTGGAAAGCACACCGTACTTATTCCTTTCCTTCTGGCTTGTTTGTAGTTTGTGCGCTTTAGCAAAGAAATCATGAGTTTAAAAGTTGGGTCATATGTATGTCTGTTTTGAGTTCTAAGGATACTACCATATTTCTTTCCCAAGCATCGTCACCATTCACACTGCAGCTAGCATGAGAATATTGTTCATGTTGTTTGTGTTAAACTTTAAACACTTTGTTAGTCTATTGGGTGAAAATTTTTGCCTTAATGTTCTAATTTTCCTTTCCTTGACTACAAGGGAGGTTGATTTAGTGACCGTGTCTTTTCCTCTTCAGAAACTGCTTTAATAGATTCCCATTGCATAACTTCTAAGTATATCTCTTGTAAATGGGATTATAAGAAATATTATCTATAGTCTATGTTGCATTTCAGTCTTAAGTCTCTCAACACTGTAGTCTTTCAGTCTTAGTTACACTGAAGTATGCATAATTAAGTTAAATTTTGAATTTTGGATGTTTTGGTTGTTTTGAGAATGCTCTAGCCCAGCATTTGAAAGATACTTTTCTACATGTTCTTTTAATGATTTATCTGAATCTTATTTTTGGTTTAATGTAAGGCGTGATCCGATGTTAGTTCTTAGCTTTTCAGAAACATTATGTATTTGCAAGGCAGAGAGTGCTTTTATCCCCCAAGTCTAGACAGACAGGGCTGATCCTGGAAGAATCCAGGGCCTGGGAGTCACTCTGGATCTCCCACACAAGTGTCAAGCTGTCCCACTCAGCTGTCGCCGCCTGCTTCCCGCTGTGCATGTCAGTGGGCAGCTGGGACAAGAGGTGCAGCCAGCACTGCAGCCCAGGCACGCTGATGGGAGGCGCTGCTGTCCCAAGCAGTGGCTTAACCACTGGCAAATACCCAGCCCCCTGAGAGCCGGCCTGAGCTGGCCTCTTATTACAGACTAAAGATTTCAAGCATGGTCTGTTTCTAATCTTTTCCCGATTCATTAATCTGATGCTTGTGTCTCCCCATACTTATTTTAATATAGATCCTTTAATAGGTTTGATATCTGTGAAACTACATTCCTATTATTAATAGGGCTGGTTTTCTCTACATCATTTCGTCCTAAATTTTAGTGTTATGTACATATTACCACATCTCAGTTTCACTTAAACATTCATTTCAAAATGCTTACCCCCCCCCTTTTTTTTTTTTAAAGATTTATTTTTATTATTTTTTCATTGGAAAGGCGGATATACAGAGAGGAGAGACAGAGAGGAAGATCCTCCGTCCGATGATTCACTCCCCAAGTGAGCGCAACGGGCCGATGCTATGCCGATCCAAAGCCAGAAGCCTCTTCCGGGTCTCCCACGCGGGTGCAGGGTCCCAAAGCCTTGGGCCGTCCTCGACTGCCTTCCCAGGCCACAAGCAGGGAGCCGGAAGGGAAGCGGGGCTGCCGGGATTAGAACCGGCGCCCATATGGGATCCCGGGCGTGCAAGGCGAGGACCTTTAACCACTTGCGCCACCGCGCCGGGCCCTACCCCCCCCCTTTTAAAATTGTTATTTCCATGATAGTTTCATGGGGTATAGGAATACCCTCCCCCTCCCCCCGTGTTACTGCAGTGGCACAGTCATTTCATGACACTGTAGCTGTAGGCAAGGTAAATGCTTTTAAGTGTTCACCTACTCCCATCTTCTTTTGCATTAAGTTTGAAGTTAGACTTAAGGACCACAAAACTAGCTGGGATTTTGCCGAGCTTGCACACATAGATAATTCTGTTCAATTTGAGTTTTCTGTTTGTGATTTTTTTTTTTCTCTACTTCTTGGGTATCTTTTGTTCTCTACAATGCTTGCCAATTTCGTTTTTATGTTAAGCCATAGGTACCTAAGTTTTTCTGGTTTTCCTAACCGCCTTTTCCTGGAGTATTTTCTGTGTAATATTATTTGATGCATAGGAAAATTCTTCATTTTCACGAGGTGAACTTTAATCACAGAGCAGAACTGTATTTAGGCTGTAAGATTTTCTAGGTAGTTGGCCACAACTTTTTTTTAAGACTTATTTTTATTGGTACAGCAGATATACAGAGAGGAGGAGAGACAGAGAGGAAGATTTTCTGTCCGAAGATTCACTCCCCAAGTGGCTGCAACAGCCAGTGCTGCGCCGATCCAAACCCAGGAGCCAGGAACCTCTTCCAGGTCTTCCACACGGGTGCAGGAACCCAAGTCTTTGAGCCGTCCTCAACTGCTTTCTCAGGCCACAAGCAGGGACCTGGATGGCAAGCAGAGCTGCTGGGGTTAGAACAGGTGCCCATATGGGATCCTAGCGTGTTCAAGGTAAGGACTTTAGCTGCTAGGCCACCTCTCTGGGTCTAGTTGGTCACATCTTTAGCTGCCAATATAAATTTTGCTTCTTTTCAATGTCTACGCTTAATCTTCTTTTTTTTTTTTTTTTTTTGAGGGGGCAGGTAGGTCAGTTTTATATTCCTGAGCTGACCGCAGGTACCATGTGTATCTTTTAATGGTCAAATTTCTAAGTGTTAAGAATATTTACTGGGCACTGATAAATAACATTTATCAAAATAGAATGCTTTCTATTTTTACATTGCTAAAATTATATTCTTTGGAGGGGGAACAACATGGATTGGTGTTATTTCCAGTATGTGTAAGTATGTATGAATGTTTAATCTAGGTATCTTAATAATGCCTTGAACTCACATACAGTGTGGTGGTCGTGTTTAACCAGCTCTTCATTAGCATTTCTTTTTAATACACTGGGCTTTCTTGATATTTCACTTAGCCATTTTAATATGAATGCAAAATGGCTAAGATCAACCATTCTGATGCTACCCCTTGTCTGCTTGTTTTAGAGGACGCTAGCTTAAACCTTTCTCATTGTTGAAAGAGAGCATTCGTCAGGATTTGGTGGGCCCTAATGTGTTTTTGTTCAATTTTTAGTAACAAGTAATTTGTGGTAGAACACTGTGCGTCTAGGTCTCTTCTCAGTATCTCACGTGGGCAGGTTCAGCCTCACAATAACCCTAGAATATGGCGACTACTTCCTCCTTGAGGTTCAAAGAATCAAGTAACGCTCTTCTCCTTCCTGTATTTTCAGAGTGAGCTCTTACACTAGATAGAGACTAAAGTTACACGCCTTCGCCCCTCCATTAGTGTGGTTTTACCCCCTTTTTTTTTTAAGATTTATTAATATTACCAAGTCAGAAATAAAGAGAGGAGGATAGACAGGAAGATATTCTGTCTGATGGTTCACTCCCCAAGTGGCCACAACAGCTGGAGCTGAGCCAATCTGGAGCCAGGAGCTCTTCCGGGTCACCCATGCAGGTGCAGGGTTCCAAGGCTTTGGGCTGTCCTTGATTGCTTCCCCAGGCCACAAGCAGGGCTGCCAGGATCAGAACTGGCAATCGTATGGGATCCTGGTGTGTGCAAGGTGAGGACTTTAACCACTATGCTATCACACCGGGCCCAATCCTTTTTTTTTTTTTTTTAATTTTCAAGATCTATTTTTCATTTTGGACACAGATGTTCCATCCACTGGTTCACTCTCCAAAGGGCAGCAATGGCATAGCTGAGCTGCTCCGAAGCTGGGAGCCATGAGATTCTTGCAAGGATCCACACGGGGGCAGGACCTCAAGGCCCTGGACTATTGTCTGCCAGTCTCGCAGATGATAAGCAGTGAGCTGAATGGGAAATAAAGCAACCAGGACACAAACTGCTGCCCGAACGGAATGCTGACACCACAGGGTAAGGATTGGCCTGTTACATCACTGTGCTGGCCCTGATTTTACCATTTAATTCTTCATATTTTGCAAGGGGGTTTATCTAGTTCCTTTTTGAAAGATTTAATTGTTTATTTGAAACTGGGTTAGAGAATCTTCACTTGCCAGTTCCCTCCCTAAGCGACTGCAAAGGCCATGACCAGTCCAGCCCAGAGACAGGAGCTTACTCCGAGTCACCCAGGTGGGTAGCAGGATGCTGGCCTTCATGCCTTGCCTTACCAGGCAGTATGCAGAGCTGGTCGGGAAGTGGCACTGGTGATGCTGTGCCAGCTACCTCTGGTTCCTTGTAATCAAAGAATGTGACTTGCTTGTAAATGGCATGTCAGAGTTCTGGCAAGTATTTAACTTACTCTCAGCTCTTTTTAAAAACTGTCTGTGGTCAGAAAAGGCAGTTATGGAGTGTGCTCTGCAAGAGGAATACTGGGGCCTTTCTATGGGTAACCTGCCCTGTATTTAGCCACTGTTAAGAGGAAGTACCTAACAACGAGGCTTTAAAACTAGACTAGAAATTCGGGCCCGGCGCGGTGGTGCAGTGGTTAAGGTCCTCGCTTTGCACGCCTGGGCCCCCATATGGGCGCCGGTTCTAATCCCAGTGGCCCCACTTCTCATCCAGCTCTCTGCTTGTGGCCTGGGAAAGCAGTCGAGGACAGCCCAAGGCTTTGGGACCCTGCACCCGCGTGGGAGACCAGGAGGAGGCTACTGGCTTTGGATCGGCATAGCATCGGCCATTGCGCTCACTTGGGGAGTGAATCATCGGACAGAAGATCTTCCTCTCTGTCTCTCCTCTCTGTATATCCACCTTTCCAATGAGGAAAATAATAAAAATAAATCTTAAAAAAAAAACTATACTAGAAATTCAAGTAAATCAATGAAATGCATCATTACTTCTAAATACTAAGATGAAAAGCAGTAAATTTACCATATACAGCAACTCATTCATGATTAAACAGTTCCTTCCCTAACCCATAATTGCTAAAATTCAGAGTAAATACTTAAAAATAAGTTAACTAATTAATGTCAAGGATTACTAGAAAATTCAGTAATATTTATAATCAACAACGATAAATATAATTGAATATGCCAGTATAAGCTATTGACAGCTCAAGGCATACAAGTCTACATTGGAAAACTAAGCTATGGGTTTTTTTTTTTTCCTCTAGCATATACCTTGTAGGTGAACTTGAAGACTTCTGGAAGAATTTGCATGTTGCAGTATAAACAGAACCTCAATATTTGGACAATTTCATAAAGCAGAAAACTGTCACAAGTTGAGAGAGGGTAAGTTTTAACACTGATTCCCTTCCACTATAGCAATTCAACAGAAACAAATACCTGAATTTCTGAAAAGTTAAGAGATACCTACTCGTCATGAACAATGGTGGGGCCATCCCGTGTTAAGGCCTCTTCCTTGATAACGTTGATCAGTTCAAAGGTACTGCTTATGGGGGCATCTGGATTTGGCCATTTGGGACACTGGAAGTGTCGAACTTCTAGGACGTAGTCATCCTGGAAACAATACAACTGAGAGTCAGAGCCTGTCCTCCATTTCTTCTCAGAAAGCAAAGTTTTGTTGTGCGATCTCTCACAGATAACTGAACAAAGTTAGGTTAGCCACAGTGCAACTAGTAAGACTGAAAATGCTAGACTGACCATTGCTACTGCTGGTCACGGCAGTGAAACAGAAAAATGTTAGTTTGCTGAAGCAAGTGTCTCAAGTAACAATATCCTGTGTGACTTATCTAAAAAACAAAGCAAGGAAGGGTAAGAGGAGTCTTGATGCAAGTCACTAATTCAAGAGGGTCCTCCCTCTTATGCATTCCACAGGAAGGCAGCTGTAATGCAGCTAAATGTTTACTAGGAAAAGAAAAAAACAACACTGAAAAATGTGCCATTATCTCTGCAGCACATTGCAAGGCTTGCACTTCTGATAGCGAGAAAATACTGAGCTGTAGTATATTGTTTTTATAACTAGGTCAGCAGACCGATTTGTATGCAGGCTGAAACAGAGGGACCGTTGTGTTTCATCTAGCTAGCTGGAAGAATATTTGAGGAAAGAAAATAATGGAAAAATGTATGTGTTTAAGATTAAGTCTCCCTCAAGTGCCCAGGCCCATCTCGAGGGCGGTAAATTACTTCACTGTGACTTAGAAGGCGCTGGCGTTCAGGTTACCTGTGTAGCTTCAAGGATGAAGTCATGGATGATGATTTGCTCTTCGTTAGAGAGGCACAGTCTGTCTTTGCTGATAAGGGTGACGGTAAAGGCCTCGCAGTTCATGGATTCCTCTCGACTGGGCCAGTACACAAACTCATCTTCTGCCTTTGGGAAGCAAGGAAGAAAAAAATTACCTTGGCAGTCCCCTGGAAGAGTTGATTTAAATTTTAGAATGATTTCTGCTATTTGCCATTTTTGTGACCCTCAATTTGTCTTTTACATTGGACTGATAGAATTATATCCCTATCCAATGGGAAATTTGATGGTAATTGTGTTCTGTGTTAAAATATATTTTGATAATAACGAATTTCCCAGCATCTTCCAATTGTTCCTCTAACAGCCAGATACCCCCTGTGCAGGGGCTGTCAAACCCCGCTAGAGAGGTAACCCTTCCAGTGCTCCCAGGTGCCCGGCAGGAAGCAGGATCTTGGGCCACTGATGCTCCTAAGCCAGCCCAGGAACGCTGAGTTCTTTCATACAGTTACGGTAACAGTTACATAGTTGAATAATATTCTGCAAAGGATTGTCATAAACATTGTCCATCTTAAAGATAGGGGGATAGCCTTTCAAATTTTATTGGATGTATTAAGATATATATGTGATATTTTGGGATACCTCTAGATTTTAAAAAGTTACTATGAGGCAAACTAATATTTGTCATTTTACATACTCAGTACATTGTGTATTCAATGCTAGCTCTCTGGACTCCACATTATTTACACCTGCAACTCTGTATCCTCTGAGCACCATGTGCTTCCTTCCCCCTTGCCCGCGCTCCTGATCATCACTGCTTTGGACTCCAGCTTTGTAAATTCTAATTGTTTGATTCCACCTGTCTGTGCGATTATCACTATTACTGCTTGGCATAACGTCCTTCAGTGCCCCATCATGACAGATGGCAGGACATCTTTCTAGAGTTAGTATATTCATAACGTGCTTCATCTGCAGACGTGTATATTGTTTCTTAGATTACTGTGAAAAATGCTGAAATGAATAGGTGAGCGCAGGTTCCCTTCCAGGGTGATGAGCCCATCTCCTTTTGGTGCATAAGAGCGGCTGCTGGGTCATATGTTAAGCTTTAAAGGACAGCCAGCGTTGCTGAGGGCACAGCAGGAAAGGCAGAATTCTTGGACATGGCGCTTTTCCTTTGAATTTATAGAAATAGTCACTCTACGAGGAGTGAGGAGGTATCTCACAGTGGTGCTATCTTTTCATGCACTTTTTAGTCACCTTATTTGAAAAATGAGTAACCTTTTAAAAAGCAGGAGTGATAATGAGGTTTTTATAATTAATGGGATTTTTTCTATCTTTACAGATGAGAACATCAAGGCACCAAGAGGTTCACAAATGGTCTAAAGTCATACATCTAATAAATGGTAAGGGACAGAACTTTTTTGGGGGGAAAGTTGGCATCAGTCAGGCTTGTTGGCTCTTAGTACAAACCACTCTTTTCAAAGTTAATCTGTCAATGTTAAATTTCATAACAGTCTTTCACACTTGAATCCAGCAAGCGTCAAATGTTTATCCAACTTGATTAAAAATAGATATTCAGCCTTGGGGCTTGAAATTTATCCCTACAAACTCTGGATACTCCAGAAAAAGCTAATTGTTACAAAATTTGCTGAGTTTGGGAGGAGCCCTATTACTGTAATTGCAGCTCCCCCACTGCCCCCCAGCTAAAATGGCAAACTGGAGTATGTAGATTTCTGTGGTCATTTTCCTGAAAAATGCCTAGTTTGTCTCATTGAAGTAAAAAATAATTCTGAATAATGTTCAACAAAGAATGCTTTGTTAAGGCTTTCAGTGTTGCAATAAGACTTATCAACCTTTCAAGTTTCAATATAACTTATTGCCAAGTACATTTTCATTTTTAAAGCTCAGCATAAGGGGAAACAGATTAGCAATTGGGTTAAGTCTATACAAAAGAAGTCTAACTGTCTTGGGTTTTAATGTTTGCCCAAGGAAATGGAAGCCTGACCTTCCACACAGATATTGAAGAGCTAAGGGAATAACAGAGAGGGCATCTAAACTTACCAGTCATGCACAGGTTAGGCATGGGCTTGTGAAGCCGCCTAAAACTATTATATCTGTGTCTTAATTTCCATAGTAGAATGGTAAGAACAATTTCAGATTATCTCAAAATAGTATTAAGGCAAGATGAATCATTCAGCATTTAATAGCAAACTAGCATAAAGCCTACCAAAGGAATTTTAGTGACAATAGAATAAAGACCAAAAAACCAACTTTGGAATACAGATATTGAACTAGTGCTCCTCTGGAAGGACTAAACAAAATGCTTAACTCAGCAGGCATGCTGGCGAATGGTTGTTTGGCTTACAAAGAGATTTTTAGCTCCGACGTCTGGGCATCTGTAACAGGGCCTTCTGAGTCAGGAACTACGCAGAGAACTGTGGTCTTGCAAAGTGATAGTAGTTTAAAGTAACCATGTAAAAGAAGAATCTAGATATATCATCTTAAAGAAAAACTGCAAGCTCCAACTTTTTGTCACCGGCAGGAGAGGCATGCTGGGCTGAGGCTCACTCCTGTCTGCAGCTCAGCGCACGCTCCCAGCACCTCTGCACACCAGCCTGGCCCATGAGTGGACGGGAACTGGTCACTGTCCTCCGAGGAGTGGCAGTAACAAAATACTGACTCATCCAACAACTGAACGTTTTCACAACCCGCTATGCCTCCAATTTCCACGTGCCAAACAGAATAGACCCCAGTTGCCAGCTAATTTGAAAATTTACACTCCAGCTTTGAGCCTAAGATTCTCAACTTTGTTGCCATTCCATCATACAGAAGCAGCCTCAGTGTTCTGAAGCTGGAGCAGAATGCGGCAGCAATGTGAAGTTCCCACTGACTGGGCACACAGTCAAATGCATGTCATCAAGACGAGGGCTCAGTCACATGCTGTTCTTTCTCGATCAAGAAACACGTTAGTCCCACATTCATTCAGGAAGGCAGATCCTCTGGGTTTTGACTTTTTATACCTTTGTGGGCTCTCAAGCCTATGTACTAATTGAGCTAATTCTGCAACTGAAGTAGGCGTGAGATCTGAGCACAGGTAACTCAGTCATCCTTGTACTGCTTACACAAAAATAAGCATTTAGGTTCATCCAGGTCTTAAAGAAGCCTTCAAGTTGCAACCAAGTAGCACTTCCGTATCATCTCTGAAATGACTTCCCTACAGAATAGGGAGATAACTGCACTTCTGATGTGGAAGCTGGAAAAGATTTTTCTGATCTAAGGTGGGACATGAGCTAAAGTCATGAAACGAATGGGTTTTGGAGACCAATGTCTCCGTCCCATTCCTGCTCTGACCGCGGGTGCCCTTGGACAGGTTGGTTCAGTTATCTCCGCTGTTTACAGGACCAGTTGCTGCGGAGATTCAGCGGCACGTGGCGGGCGGGATGCTGGCCTAAAGTCATATCGAGGTTGGTAAGTGCATCTTTTGCGAGCCTCTTACCACACGGGAGGACCCCGACAGTACTACTAGAGGGGGATACTGACTAAGGACTGTAGGCGCTGCTCCAAGCAGGGCAGTATTGGGACGTTCTGCAAGGAATTTCCCTCTCTAGCAGCAGACACTACAGCCCTGTGGCAAGGTATCAAAGCAATTTATGCTTGTAGCCTCCTGGGCTCATTAATATATAGCAGATGTGCTGTACTTACCAGGCTCTGGTTGTCTGGCAGCATGACAATGATCTGTGCGTTATGATCCCAGATCATCCGCCAGAAATCTTTCGTAGTATGTGGCAAAGGATGCTGGGTTATAATAAATTCATTGCTCCTGTAATAGCCCTGTAGTTGGGAAGATGAAGAAGCAGTTACTACGAGTGTTTCATTCTAAATTTGGTGGTGGTAAAATGTATTCATGAAATAAGCATTGTTTTGACCACAGTGCTGTAATTGGGAAAAGCATTCAGTACTTTTGGCTAATTTTCAGATATGCTTCTGCTGCCACTGCGCAGACAATTTTGCTCTCTACATGCAATTCGCTTCCATTTACCCCTGCTGTTTTTACTTAACAGCCATTTCAACATCTATGCAGAAACTAAATGGCTGAAGTAAAGAATCAAACCGATTCACTAAGATTCATTTTGCTTCTTTTTTCGTACCCCCACTGATCAGGAAGCTTTTGCTGCATGTTTCAAGATACAGAAATCTTGATGCTTGTGATATGGCACGTTGAGTAATTATTTCAAAAATAAAATCATTCACTAGGTGGTATCGGCTCTTTAACACCTCTCAGTTTAATTGAATGTATTTATAATTAGCTGCTGACTCTCACCATGATGTAAGAAGCATTAATATAATCTGTTCCTTTCATTCCAGGCACCGGCGCGAGACCCACTCGAGCACGCTCAGCTGTCACAGGAGAAACAAAACCACCACATTAGCCGTACCACACAAACAGAACCAGCCACTCTGTGCGCTTCACTGGGGAAAGAACCCCTTCCACTGGCCACCCGCTTCTCTGCAGCGTTGCTGCTCATACCTGAGCAAGGCAGAATGCAAAAGGACGACACAGGAATTTTAGCAATGACATTCTTGCCGTGGGAGGGGTCAGGGAATACTCTGCCTCTGTAGTCCCGGGGGGGGGGGGGGGGGGCTGTCAGGTCATTTGGACCCTCATTTGATACTGTTACAGCTGCACCAACAGACAGGATTGTTCTCCAGCTCCCACTCTCCAGGATCAGCCAGGCCTGGGCTTACTCGGCTATACCCAGAGTTATTTATACGGAGGTCACTAACAATCACTAATGCCTCCATTTCAACAGCCACAGTGACTCAGTGATGGACACCTGCCAGATAGACTGTTCCTGGCACTCTTACACTTCCCAGGAGTGTTAATGCCACAGTGATCACATTTTTAGGATAAATTTTTTTCATTTCCAGATGAAATGAAGTTCTGTTTCCTACTAAACAGATTAAGCAGCTTGGTGCCACCTCTCCCACTTTGCTTAAGCTGCCCTAAACATCATGATTTCCTTTGTGGTACTGGCTGCTCTTTACATGAGGGTAGTAGTCACATTGATTTAAGGTCTCACATGGCACGACTGAAGAGTTTCTGTTCTTCTCTTTGTTACACTCTTTCTGGGCACTAAAGCATTCCACGTACTTGGCGTTACATTGTGTGACGAGCTGCAAGAGAAGCAAAGTTTCAGTCTCCATGGCACAACTGATTGCATTTGCTTGTCAACGTTCGTAAAGGACACCAGTAACCAGATTACTGCTGCTAGACACTGATGATTGCGAGAGTCCAGAGGACAGCTCCTCGTGTCATCAGTGCCTTTCACGGTGCTTCTGGCTGCTCCGTTGTCACTTTCCTGTCACGCCCTATGTGTCCTGAAGATAGGTGAAGTGTGAGTTTTCTGTTCCCTGATGTAACTGCTGTTTTGACTACTTCCCTAATGGTGAACATGACTGTTTACTGCTATAACAATTTTAAGATTTGGTTTTATACAAAAGGCAGAGTTACAGAGAGATACCTTCTGTTTGCTGGGGCATTCCGAAGCTAGGAGCTTCATTTGGGTCTTCACCCAGGGTGCAGAGGCCCAGGCACTTGAGCCATTTTCTGCTACGTAGTCTCACTGGTACAAAGCTGGACTGGAATTGGAACAGGACTTGAGTTGGCACTCTTTGGGGTATGCTGATGCCGCAGGCCCCGATCCTGTTTCTTAAAGAAGTGAACAGGCTCTGGGTATATTTCTGTTGAACTGAGCTTACATTGTTCTAAGGCCACTGTGATTACTAAGCACAATAATTATGTCTTTCTTACTTTCTGTGCAGGCTTCTAACCTAATATGCTATGTGGAAACAGTCTGTTCCCAAGCTTTAGTACTACTGCCTGGGTCCCTAGATGAAATCTCATTTTGTAGTTTTTCAGTTTTCTATGGTTTGAGTTCCAAAATGATAACTTTGGATAACTTTACAAAATTTTGTGCACAAGGGGCTAATTTAGTGGCTCAGTGAGTTAGGCTCGCACTTGAAATGTAAGCATCCTTTACTGGCACTGGCTGGAGCCCTGGAGGCACCACTTCCGGTCCTGCTCATGTGCCCTCAATACAGAAGACCCGGAAGAAGCTCCTGGCCATTGTGAGCACTCAGGGAGTGACCCAGCGAATGCAAGACACCTCTTTCTGCAACTATTTCAAATAAATAATTCTTAACAAAAATTTCCACTTGTGCTATAGACTTTAAGAGCATGTTGGGTTTTTGATTTAAGGAGGTCTAGCCTCTATTACACAAATAGAAAAATTTAAGACATGTTGGTAACTATTTCCCAAGACGTCATTTTAAACATTTAAAATGCTCCACTGGGTTTTCAGACTGAGCATAGTGGCATCCTCTGTAGTGCATTTCACGTCACTTGGTACGATTTGCCTAATCTGTCTTTGCACTGAGGTTCCAGAGAAGGCTTCAAATCCCATGGGCTGTTTTACCACAGAAACTAAAACTTCACAGATTTACCTTATTCTTCCCTCTTTAACACAAAAGGAGAAATTGCACGTAGAACAGTGTGCCAAAAAATAAAATTTTAAACTAATAGAAATCTCCAACAGGTTGGAGAAATGGAGCTGGTGACGGTCACTGCCTGTCTGAACCCGATGGCTGTGCAGCAGTGCTTATAGTAAACCTCACCTGCGTTTCAACTGCCAAAAAGTGAGAAAGTGAATTCTTTGCTTATCATTATTGCTTCGTGACGCTTCTCTCATTCCTCAGTTTTAATGAAGAAGCTGATGTTTGTATAAGGTGTACATTCTATACAAAATATAGCGCACTACAACTATCTGAATACCATAACTTGTCACACTTCATTTTCCTATGCCTCACACTAAAGGAACACAGTTAATAATCCATTTTCAGTCTACCTGAGAGTGACCCCTTAACTCAAGGCCACCTTTTAATACCTTGCTTCATATTAAAGGAATGTGTTCACAATGTTACCACCTTAAATTGCTTCTCCAGTCTTGTTTTTCCTCCTACTCCTGGTATAAGGATGCTGTTGACATAGCTGTGCAGCTGACTGGAGGACACTTCAGTCTCCTTTCCCAGAATGGCTTCCAGCAAGGCATCATGGATGAAGATGTACTGCTCCTGAAAGGCACAACTGGTGTCAGGGGGCAGACTACCCAGTCATTACGTCTCCCTTCACTCTGCCCCTACGAGGTACCTTCCAGAGAAGCCCGTCAAGCGTGTAGGTTACTTTCTCCCCTTGGCTTCCCCACTGTCGGGGGAGAGAAGGCGTCAAGTGCAGCCTGTCACCCCCAGGAGGTCCCATGAGGGACTTCAGGTCCACCCCTGTCAGGCATGTCTCGGGCCAGTCATCGTTACACGGCCCTCAATGTAACTTTCTTATCTACTTGTGCAGTGGCCGAGGAATCCAAATATTAAGGTCCAATCAGAAATGGAAAACAGGTTCAAAGAGAAGGTGGTCCTCTTGTGACAGAAACCTGTTCAAACCCTGAAGAGTGAATGCTCACTCCCCTTTCAGTCACAGCACGTGTCTGTGTCTCAGAAGGGCGTCCGGGACCCCTTACCTCCGTCTGCACGAGGTAGTTGCGCTGCGTCCTGATATGCTTCAGGAATCCCAGGACGTTGACTGTGCTTTTGTCTTTGATCTGTTGCAGCATGCTGTCTATTACAATGTAGGTACCTGTCCTGCCAACGCCGGCACTGGAAGACACGAGGGCACTCAGCTGCAACGTTTGTATATTATCGTGTCATGAGCTATACAACATAATACACTCAGAAATAACCTTGCTGAGATAACCTCACAGGATGGTCAAACTAGGTTATTGTGAGGGTAGCATTGTGAAGCTACTGGGATATTCATATTGTACGTCTTGAAATGGAAATGGATTTTTATTCCCTCTTAATGTAGCACTGGAAGAACATTGTGGGCTTGCTTCCTCAGTCTTCCATGCAGCTCAAGGAAAAGTGCAGCCAACTCAGGGATGCACAGGGACATCCCAGCCCCCGTCACAGTGGCTGGCATCTGCACACCACAGCCACATCTTAGGAGGCACCTGCAATGGGCACTCCCTTTCTCTCAATCTATTCTGTTAGCAGCCATCCTCCTTTTAATAACCTCATTGTTTGCACTGCTCCCTAGCCTGCTGCTGCTGCTCACAGCTCAGACCCTAACTAACTGGTTCAGCATTAGCAAGTGCTTGCTTGAAGGGATGTAATCTAGGTATATAAACTGTATGTTTCTTAAGAAAACACAGGAAAAATAATTCTGCAACATCTGTTGGCGGAATTCCCCAATAGTACTCCCATCCGGTACGTACTTGTCCATACTTTGGCTTTTGTCTCCATTTTGTGTCCAAAAACAAAAAGGCAGAGGAGCTTCGGCAGTGGGCTCCCTTTGTAGAAGCCTTTGCAAGAAGAGCCGATCGTAGCAGATGCTCAGAAGTTGCCATGCAGCTGTGCTGCTTGCATCAAAGAGCAACTAGCATCCAGCCCGGACCATTTCACTTTCATTTAAAAAATGAAAGCATTTTTTAAAACCTAAATCCTTAAATTAGCTGAGAAAATAGGCTTCACAAACCGAACTCTTGATTTTTGCATATAGTGCATATAAAGTAACCATTTAAAGAATTTTAGAGACAGTCCTTTTATCTATGCTAAAAATGCCATCACTAGGCATCCTTCAGAAAAGCCACTTACACAAACTCCAAGTCTGGTGTGAAGAGCTCTTCTAGCAAAGGTTAGCTTTTTTACTTATTAGGATCAACTTACACAGCTTCCTTATAGAAAATGTGTGTTTTAGTAATCAGCAACATGAGTTTATAAAGGCTAGAAACAGCTGGTTGAGAATATGTTTTAGAAGAATGAGTAAGTAGGGATATTGCTGTTGCTTAGTGAGTTTAAAAAACGGTGCAACCCATATGGGTGCCAGGTCAAGGTTCCAGCTGCCCCACCGCCAATCCAGCCACTACTAACACAGTGGGAAGCAGGGGAAGATGCCCAAATACTTGGACCCCTACACCCAGGTAGGAGACCCAGAAGAAGCTCCTGCCTTCAGATCCATTCATCCAGCTCCAGTCATTATGGCAATTTGGGGAATTAAACCAAGAGATGGAATCTCTTTCCCTCCCTAACTATGCCTTTCAAAAAAAAAATGCAGAAACAAAGATGATCTGTGACTATGATGCAAATGCAGTCACTTGAGGATTATGTATTATTCGTATTCATCCCTTTTTCGAGGGGAGACTCGGCTTAAGTCAAAGCACTGGCTGGCTTGCTGTGGTCCAGGCACTGAAGGCTCAGTGCCCTGGTGTACCCACATCATCAACCAAAGCAGCAGAAGCGTTACTGTGATTCGTGTTCCCAAGGCCTTCCAGGCACAGCTCTGCCTAAGTGAGAGGCTGAATCCCAGGCAGGAGGGCAAAGGTGACAGTCCTACCTGCAGTGTACCAGCACTGGCCCCATGTCTGGCATCCGCGCTGCAGAGGACCTCCTCACGAAAGTCAGGACCGGGAGGGCATACTCGGGAACCCCCATGTCAGGCCACTGAGTGTAGTGATACTGGATCACGACCCTCTCGTTCTGGCGGCCCTTGGGATTGCCCTTCTGACCCTAGGAGAAAGGTAGGAGAAAATGTAAGCTTTTAGAGAAAAACCAGCCTGATGACATCAGGAACCATGACCTGTGATCCCGCTCTTTCTCATTACTGTTCCAGGACTAAGCTATCTCATCCCGGTAGCCAACTTTCATGCCACTTGACTGCCTATCTGATAGGACACAGTGCTACTGAGTTTCACATATTTCTGCCATCTTAGGATAAATTTACATGTAAAAAGAACAGTTAACCCTGACAGATTGGCTTTGGAGTCACAAAAATCACATATAAAAATATGGGGAAATGAGAACCTTTGCAAGGTAAGAGTCGTAACACATTCTCAAGGATGACTACAGTCGGGGAGCAAGTACTAAGATCCTGTAGTATAAGCACCTGCATACTAAGCTGCTGTGCAGTAACTACACTCTCCTAATCAGCCTTTGTCTGGGACAGTCTTGGATTCTTGTTGTGATAATGGATTTCAAACCAGAGGTATGCATACAGCTTGAAAGCAGCACATCCATCCTATGTGATCTTCAGGAAAGTACCGGTTCTACAGAGAAGGATTTTACAAAGTCACATCACAAAACACAAGGCAACAAGGCAACCAGCTCGGGCTTCTTCACGCCCAATAGTCTGAACATGTGTACTCGCTCTCCATTTCAGAAAGGGAGGGCGTCTATTACGTAGCATTCATTGTCTACATCCTTACTGCACAGAACCTGCTTCTCAGAAGCATCTTGTAGGACTAGAATTCCTTGGAACACTCTTTGGCTCTAAAAGCTGTCAGAGATCGGAATGAAAAAATTAACTCCACAAACAGAAGCTGCCATCTTCAGTGAGCATTACCAAAACCAAAGAGGATGCTTTCTTTTGGTTTGTTTTACAAATGGGGTCTTTGTTCATGCAGAGATGAACGCAATCAGGCCAGTCAGATTCTGTTCTGTGCCCTGCCAGTACCTGTCACGCCATGCCTTGGTGTCAATCAAAAGAGTCGTGAAGCAACGTTTCAAAAATACTTTTTAAAAACAAAGTGGATGATGAGATTTGGCCTTGATTGTACAGTAATTTTCACAGAAGTATAAAAAGAGACGCTCTGGCAGTCCCCCCGGCTCCCTCAGTACCTTTTTCATTTTCGTGTTTCTGATGGAGAAACGACGAACAGTATAGCAGGCGTGTACTTTTGTGCTCTTCAGTGTGACGATAATGTTCCCGTACTCCTCACTGTTCTCCGTTGGCCAGTATTGGTCACATTTTCGCTGTAAGAAAAAAATGTTGTACATTATAACTACCGTTTAGGTAAGAATTGGAATCACAAAGCTATACTATAATGCTGCCTTACATAAGTACTTCAGAAGGCCACTAGTATTCTAAATGACACAAGACATATTATAAAGGAAGTTGAAGTATTGTTTGCAAGATTAGGAGAACTAATGTACCTGCTTTCCCAGGAACAGCAGCAGGGAGCTGGATCAGAAGTGGAGCAGCTGGGGCTTGAACAGGTGCCATCGTGGGGTGCTGGCATTGCAGTTGGCAGCTTAACTCACTGTACTGCAATGCCATTCCCATTGCTTGTATTCTATTTTTTGTTCTTTCTATGTAGAATGTTCTTACCTATTATTGAGCTATGTGACTCGTTGTCACTCAAACCTCACTGCAGTTAAGAATGATGTCTTCACTTATTTGGCAGCCTCCCAAATAATACTGTCCATCCCTACTGTCACAGTTAATTCCCAGTTGTAAAGTCTTGGCTTTCTTTCCCACTAGGCACGCAGAAGTTACTTTTTTCTGCCTAATAGTCTTTAAACCTGGCCACATGCCTAGTTTTTTTTCCAAGTGCACAAGGATGGTTTATTGAAGCTCAGCACATCCGAGCCTGGGTTCTTGGTTGAAAGCAGGCAGCTGGCTGACTGACTGGCCAGCCAGCTGGCCGGGACCAACACCCCTTACCGGGAGTGTGGCCACAAATAGAACACTCATAGGGTTTTTATAGGGGCAGTCCACAATAGCTTGAAAAGGGGAACTTCACAATAGACTGCAAGGTGAGGGGAAGTAGCACACATTCCCCACCTGTCTCAGCTGGACAGCCCACGCCGCCACACATGCCTGGTTTGTACCAGGTATCCCATCAGCATATTGTGAAGGAAAACACAGGATCAACTTAATAAGCAAGAGGCTCTTACTCTTCCTTTTTCCACAAGGTTTGTAATCATGATGATGATTCCGGTGTTTTGCTCCCAAATCATCCTCCAGAAATCTTCAAACGTAGACTTTAAAGGTCCCTGGGTAGCAATGTAGGCTTTCGCTTTGTTGTAACCCTTCAAAGATGACACAGCACAAAGTCACACAGGAAAGCATTATCAAAGAAACCCACTCAGTACTTCAGCTGCCTTCCACACCAAATGGGCTGTTTTCAGGGAAGGCTCAGCGCAGCGATGAGATACACGGTAGAGCCTTTGCTGCAGTGTTCTGTGTTCACAGACAGGGTAATAAAAACGCTTCTGACTTACATCGACGTAGTTGGCGTTGATGTAGTCACTGTGCTTCGAGTCCTTCCCTGGTAGAGGTCTTAACTTCACTCTGCTGTGATCGTCTACAGAGAAGGGGAGCAACAGTATGCTGGTCAGAACATTAAGTATGGGTGTGTGTAAGGCGTTTGTCTACATATTCCTGTGTCAGCTGCAGGATCCCACAACTCCTCACAATCCTTTTAATTTTGTATATGCAATCCCAACCCAATGAGTCCAGAGTAAATCCCTTCAGTGGCTGGTGAGATAAACTAAAGCTGGAGTCTTTCTTCCTCCTGTTCTCTCTTTTTTATGTTAACCTCTATGTCCTAACTGAAAGTAACTTAAAGATCTTTTAAAATTTTACCTAGAAGTAAAACCATCTCTATTCAGAAATGGCATGATCTTGTATATAGAAATGTAAAATGGGTACACACACACACCCCTACAGGTGAGTCAGGGCACGGGCCTACATCCCAGGTACAGCTTTTTATCCAGCATTTTGCTACTGCATCCTTGTCAACAGACGATGGCTCACGTGCTTAGGCCCTTGCCGCCCACTTGGCTGCCCAGATGCAGCTGGAGTTAGGGCCCCAGCTTTTTGGGCTGGCACAGCTTGGCTATTGGCACGTATTTGTGGAGTGAGCCAGGGGATGGGAGATTGTTCTTCTCATTCACTTTTCAGGTGGATTTTTAAAAAAAGAAATAAAAAATGGGTTCAGCAAAGATACAGGATGTAACGCCCAACGCACAAAAATCACCTTTATTTTCTCTTAACTGTTGGTGAGCAATAAAATGATACACAATTCTATATTTAATAGCATCAAAAAGAAAAGAATATTTAGGAATACATCTCTAAACTATGGTGTACCATATACTCTAAATGATTGGCAAGCTGAAGAGTATGTAAGTAGGAAGCTTCTATGCTCATGGAATATAAGACACTATTCAGATGCCAGAGGTCCCCAAATTAATCAACGCATTCACTGAAGTCTGTCAAGAAATACTGCTGCTGTTTTTTGCTGTACTGGCCAAGCTGATCCCCAAATTTACTTTACAACGTGAGGGATCCAGAAGAGCCACAATAATCTTTTAGAAGCACATTTATGTATGTACGTAGTTTTACATTTATTTGAGATAGAGAAACTGAGCCAAGGATCTTCCCCACTGCTTGTTCACTCCCCAAATGGTTTCAACAGCCAGATCTGTTAAAGCCAAGAACCAGGAAACCCCAGCCTGGTCTCTGATGCGGGTGGCGTAGGCCCAGTTACTGGAGCCATCTCATGTTGCTTTCCCCTGCACATCAGCAGAGAGCCGGATCAGAAACAGAGCAACCGAGACTTTAAACCTCCATTATGGAATGTTGGTATCACAGGAGGCAGCTTAACATACTGTGCCACAGCACCAGCCCCTAACACCATCATGCAAAAGAGGTCTCACTGTTGAATTTGGAGAACTGGACATTCTAATTTCTAAACTTCTCACAAAGCCTCAGTAATGAAGAACAGTGTAGTACTGGCATTAGGGCAGAACAGAACTGACAGTTCAGAAATAACCTGCTTTCGTCAACTCACTTTGAGTAAGGCTGCCCACATCATTCCATGGACGAAGTAGCGCCTTTCCAACCAGTGGCCCTGAGGTACTTACACATCCGCACCCAGAGGAATCAAGGCAATCTCTTACCCCACAGCATCTATAAAAACTAACTAAAATGCATCAAACATCTCCATGTGCAAGCCGAAATCCTAAAACTCTAGACTTAAAAACTGAGGTGTAAATCTTTGTGATTTGGAATAGGCAGCAAAATATTTCTAAAATAGGACACCACAAGCACAGGCAAAAAGAGGAAAAATAGATAAATGAGATGTAACCAAAATTCTGAAATGTGAACTTTAAAGGACACCATTAAGACAGTAAAAAGATACAGAATGGGAGAAAATATTTACAAACCATATACTAAACATTTGACAGGAGATGTGTATCCAGAATAAATAATGACCGCTTACAATCCAGCAATCAAAATAATCCAGTTTAAAAAATGGGCAATGCATTTAAATAAGCATCTCTCAAAAAATATATGCAAATGGTCAGTGAGCACAGTCAGTCAGCAGCACCATTAGCCATCAGAGGAAGGCAGATCAAAACTACCATCACCATACTTACTAGGACATTGTTAAAGAAAAAAACAATAAAAATAGAAGAAAACCCTGACATGGGTACTGTAGATGGTGACTGTTCCTAGGAGGCAGTTTCCTCGTATACTGTGTACCCAGAAGCACTGCAAATATGCCAACACAAAGCCTTAGACACTGACATTCAAAGCAGCATGGCTTGTAATATACAAAACTTCAGAATCAAAACCAGATGTCTATCAAATTATGAATGAATCAACAACAGGATATTATGCATGTAAAGGAATACTTATTCAGCCATGCAAAGGAACATGGTGCAACGGAGAAGACTCTTAAAAACATTATGCTAAGTGAAAGGAGTCAACCATGAAAGCCACACAGTGTATGATTTCCCTGAGATGAAATCTGTAGCATATGTCTGTCGGTGCTTTGTAGGGGACATGAATAGGATCAACTCTCTTGTTCAGGTGCCAAAAAAATGTTCCAATCCTAGAATGTGGTAATAACTGTACCATGTACTGGAAAGTATTCTACTGTCTGCTGAATTGTACCTTTCCTTCACGAATTTTATGTAGTATATACATTTTATTACAGCTATCTTATAATACGATTATAATAGTTTCCATTTTAAGTGGCGCAAAGCAAATGCACCACTTACTAGATCTTACTAAAGTGTGTATTAACCATGACCATCTGTGTCCTTGCTTAACAGACTTATCTCCAACTCTGGGCACCAGGAATATTTCAGCTTCCAGGGTTTTTCAGATTTGGGGATACGTGCATACACTTTACTAGCGGTGAGCACCCACAGTCTGGCAGTATGTCATCTGGAATGTTCCGACATGTTTGGAGCACTGTGCTTGCTTTCCTAGATTAGAGAGGCTCAGTGTGTGTCATGTACCAGTGACTCAGCTGCCGCATCAGAAGTGGCCTTCCAGCCGTACCAGGACTTGTGGCTCATGGGTATCCTGACCCATAGCTCGACAGGGCTACAAAGGACTAGAGGCTCATCACTTAAGATCCATGGACACAGCCTTAGCTCTCTGAATTCAGCTCAGTTGACTCAATTTCCAGTATTTCAATTTGTATTAAAAAGACTTGGATTGGGCCTGGCGCGGTGGCGCAAGTGGTTAAAGGTCCTCGCCTTGCACGCCCGGGATCCCATATGGGCGCCGGTTCTAATCCCGGCAGCCCCGCTTCCCTTCCAGCTCCCTGCCTGTGGCCTGGGAAAGCAGTCGAGGACGGCCCAAAGCTTTGGGACCCTGCACCAGCGTGGGAGACCCGGAAGAGGCTCCTGGCTTCAGATCGGCATAGTATTGGCCGTTGCGCTCACTTGGGGAGTGAATCATCGGACAGAAGATCTTCCTCTCTGTCTCTCCTCTCTGTATATCTGCCTTTCCAATGAAAAAATAATAAAAATAAATCTTAAAAAAAAAAAAGACTTGGATTATGCTGGTTAAGAACAGTGCCAAGATAGCCAAGTGCCATGCAGACTCTGGCTGCCAACATCTGACATGACATTATGTGAAAACGGGGACGCTCAGAACATTTTCTCCCAGTCACTTGCTTAAGCTGTCAGATACTGAGAGCCAGTGAGAGACTAGGGGGACACACGATGTCCCCTCTTCTTAGTGTGGAAGATGGTCTCATGGAAGGTTAGCTTCCACCCGCCTCCCTTTCCTGGCAGCTGGTACTCGTTTCTTGGCCTTTAACTTCTACCTAGTATAAAAATGGAGTTTCCTCAGAGTTGAAGACAGTGTGACATGGATTACTCACATGCTAAAATGTTGATGTAGCGGTTTTTGTGCTTGTTATCCGGATGGTTGGAATGTTCCGCAGTGATGTTCATGTCGGCCGTACAGCGCTGCACTTCCTGGAGAGAAAAACAAACAGCAAGATTTCGGACACACCGAGACAGAGGCACCGAGCACACCCACGGACCCGGGTCCCTCCTCGCCCCCAGCCAGCCACCATTTCCTTCCCAAACCCAACGTCGTCATTTCTGAAATATTAATAAACATATGAAAAATACAAACATGGAATAAATATTTCATTCTTTACTAATTTGTCATCTGCTTCATTTAGGATTTTCAAGTAAGCGTTAGGATGCAAAGAGAGACCTCTTTTTGAATGTCACCATCTATGTTTAAGAAAAAAAAAGGTAGCATCTATCAAATTCACCAGTAGAAAAGAGATTTTTAAAAACCAGTGATGGGAGCATGAGGACAGAGGCAGGAAAGCTTCAGACAGCAGATGACAACTTGCTTGAGTTTTAATTCATAGTGAGACATTCCAAGAAATGTGATTTCTGCTGATTTATAACACGCTTGGAGGCATAGCATTCTTTTATAACCGTGAGCCTGCGAACTGACTAGAAAGACTCCATCCTGAAATGACACCGTCATGCAATCTGCCTATGATGTCAGCAGGAGGCGCCCTCATGGGATACGAAGCTTTTGCAGACAGGCAGAGCTCTATCTGGGCGCCGGTGCCGGTGCCTCGTGAGCACAGTGGCCTGGATCCTAGCTGCTCCCTTCCAACCCAGCCCTCTGCTTACGGCCTTGGAGGGCAGCAGAGGACGGACCAGGTCCTTGGGACCCTGCACCCGTGGGGGAGAACGAGTGCCTGGCTCCTGGCTTTGGATTGGCTCAGCTCTGGCCACTGGAGTGGAGTGCCTGGCTCCTGGCTTTGGATCGGCTCAGCTCTGGCCACTGCGGCCACCTGGGGAAGAGAACCACAGTGCGGAAGCTCCTTTTCTGTCTCTCTCGGTAACTCTGCTTTCTGACAAAACCACATAAATCCTTAAAAAATTCAGATTTCATTAACTTTCTGCATTAAAAAACCCACTTTTTAAAAAGAAAAAATATTAGAAACAGAACTACAGAGGGGAAAAAAGCCCCACTTTCAATCACATTTTTCCACAAACTTTTTGAACTCCCTTGCATATAGGTCAAATAATTTTCAGTGTGTAGATCAGACAATTATGGCTCTGACAAAGTATTTGGGAATGCTAATTTTATTTAAAAATTATGCTTCTTTGGGGCTGATGTTGTAGCATATCAGGTGAAGCTGCCAACTCAGACATGAGCATCCCATGTCAGAGTGCCGGTTTGAGTCCTGGCTGTTCTACTTAAGGTCCGTCCCACCGGTACTGTGCCTGGGAAAGCAAAGGAAGATGGTCCGGGTGTTAGGGACCTGCCACCCGTTGGGGGTCCTTGCCTTCAATCAGTGCAACAGTGACTGGGTCATTTGGATCATGAACCTGTAGGCAGATCACTCTGTCTCTCTAACTCTGCCTTTCAAATAAAATTGTTGACAACTGACCAAAAAACAGAAGTGACAGCAAGTCACTACCGCGGCCATGGACATAAACGCCATCTATGAGCTCATTACGGGCTTGCTGAAAAGCCCAATGTTTCTGCACTGTTATGCTTTGTACCCCAAGAAACTACTGGCAAAAACTAATAAGGGAAGTCATTAGCAGGGCACAGCTGCCACAAAGAACAGGCGCAAAGTAGCACAAAATTATCAGGAGAAATGTTTTACATATAACAGATGTAACAGTTTAGGAGCCTGAAGACTTTGTTCTCACAAAAGAGTTGCACGGCGATTATGGGATGTTCTCCACAAGATTTACACCAGTCTTCACAAAAACAGGGAACTGGCTGTCTTTCATATTCACAGAGTTCCTCCCGGTGAGAAGTGCCCCCTTCTCGTCAAAGAAAAATTCGTTATAATCAAAGAACTTAAGGTATAGAAACAAAGAATTACTTTTTGTTCAAAGAATTCATATTTGCTGAGTCTGCATTCTTGCAAGGTAAATATTAACATTTTTTCACAATTGTGCTTCTTCCCAGCTGTCCATAAAAAAGCCTGCACTCACAGGCATTACTAGTGTCTCTGGGGCGAGGATGCCTCACGTGGCAGCTCTTCTCAGTATCTCAAGGAGATCTAACAGGCTCTGCTATCTCCTGGTCTCAAATAGCTCATAATCTACTGCTCGGCAAACACCGGTCTCAGCAGCCTGTTTTTGGCCCTTTTCTCCAAAATGAGATAGTGAAGCGTCGGCACGCCACGTCCACTTCTAGCGGGACAGAAAGGGGGCGAGCCCGACCTGGAATACGGGCCCTCGCCGAGCACACTGCTCGACCAGTTTCAAGGGGCACAGACGTTGGAACACAGATTGGAATTCTGGATGGCATCCATGTGCTCGGTCTACAAATCCCACCTTTTGTTTCGGGCTTGAAGAGGGCTGGGTTATTCAGGTAAACTTACCCCCAGAGATCCTAGCCTGGAGCTCTTTAGTGTGTCACTGGCCCCCCGCCCCCCCCCCCCCCCCCCCCCCCCGGGCTGTATGAACTGGATCCCGCTAGCTATGCACTGGGGCTGCGGCTCTGTTGTCATATAGTGCGACAGGCCATGACTGCTTGGGAGCAGCTGTGTGCACTGGCCAAAGCAGGCGGGCGTTCAACACGGTCAGTCACACTCTTTGTCATCAGAAACTCCTGGTCGCATCCATTGCCTCCATTTCCCTTTCCCCATTATGGGAATGACAGAGAACAAAGGAATGTCATAAATGAAGTTAAGTCTGCTTTTCTGAGAACCCATGGGGTTTGCCTAAGGCCCTGTGATCCTGTCTTGTGGATAATAATGTCATCTGTAACTCCTCGCAGTGCCGCGGGGGCTGAGATGCTGTCATATCATCCGGTCCTGGAGTCCATCAGAACCGGTATTTCAAAGGTAATGCGACTTCAGTAGGTGTCAGAACCCTCCAAAGTGGCACTGGCTGATGGTATGTGTATAGTAAAGTTACTTATTCTGTACTCCGGTTCACAGCGCTCAGGACTCAAACTTATCTGTATTAGAATATTCTTTTTGAGAACTTGAGGTTTATGACTATTAACCAGTAATTACCTTCAGAATAGGGCCTGTGGAAAGCAGGTTTAAGATGAAGTGCAGATCAAAAAGATGGACAAACAAGAGGCTCATGTTGTGGCTTAGCAAGTCAAGCCTCTGTTTGCAGTGGCGGTCTCCCATATGGGCACTGGTCCGAGTCCTGGCTACTTCATTTCTGATCCAGCTGCCCGCTAATTTGCCAGGGAACAGCAGTTTAAGTCCTTGGGGCCCTGCACCCACGTGGGAGACCCAGAAGAAGCTCCAGGCTCCTGGCTTCGGAGCAGCTCAGCTCTGTTGTGGCCACTTGGGGAATGAAGCAGCTAAAGTAAGAGCACTCTGTAAATCTGCCCTTCAAATAATACTAAAGATATTTTTTAAATGAACAAACAGAAGCAATAGCACATGATGTAAAACTCTCTGGAGATCAGGCCGCATGCAGTCCTTGCTGGGAGCGGCACCAATAGCAGCTGAAGCACTGTCCTGTCCCAGGGCTCAGTTAAAAAAAAAAATCATCATCAACAACAAAGACTACGCAGAAGTCTTTCAGATGACTCAGAAATCTTTCACAAAGCAAGACACGATGAAGGTGTTTTAGAACCGGCAGCCAAGTGGCAGAATGAGTTTTTGCATGTCACTTTGTCAGCGTTCAGGAAGCCTGTGCCTTGAGCGAAGAGGGCTGTTCTAACCGAGGATGAACTGGTTTGGCCCATGCCTGCAGCCTGGCACTCGTACAGGGTCAGACACACCGGTTGGTCCCCTAGGAGTTCCCCTGCATTATCTTGCTTCTACTCAGGCCAGAAAGGGCTGTGCACTGACTGTTCCTAGCGTTGGGTTCATTTTGTTATTTCCTTGCATAAAAGTCTCTGTGTAATTTCCAGCTTCCCTAGGCGGGCATCCCAGGTCGCCTTCGCACCTTCTGCAAACTCCTTCCCATCTCCAGCAGGACTAGACTCTGTGCCCTGTGCTAATGCCACATGGTCTCCCGCCCTTGGCTTTTGTCATTAGCCTGGCCAGGAAGGCCTGTTTCTGTCTGCGTCTCCCTTTCCCCGAGTCCCTCTTCCCTCCAGGAGAGACACCCATTTGGAAAACACAACCCAGCACCTGTCATTCTGCAGCTGCCTTAGAATGTAGAAATTACTTTGCATGACCGTTCTGCATTTTAGCTCTCTCCTTTTTCTCAGTCTTCATCAAAACCTCAATTTAAATGACCAACTTTCCGCCTACGGATTTTATTTTTTCTATATGGTAAAAGACACAAACTCATATCTTGGGACTGAGTCGCAGGAAGCCCCACAGGGTCCTGTCCTACACTCTGCACACACTGGTGTTTGTGGAGCCTTAAAGCTCACTGCAGAGAAGCCTGCATTTTATGTCATTTGCAACCCTGCAAGTCTCCATTAATTACATCAAGTGCTTGTGGCCACTGGTCCCTCAAGAGCCTGGGCTCAGCTGGATGAAGCTCTGTTCTCTTGATTTCAGATGAACAACCAGCCCAAATTTTGCTCAGCTGGTTAACTATAATAGGGTTATCCCCCCAAGGCTCTCGCGAAGTGCCTGTGGACCTCTGGCCTCATCTGGGCATTCAAGCCTTTAGAAATCAGATTCTCCTAGGCCCTGGCTGTTCATCCCGCTGACCCACACTGGTCTGCATCTCTCCACCTTTACCAAGAGCATGCGCCCCACTGCATCTTGGCCAGTTTTGTGCAGTGTAACTGTGATGGCTGGGGGACAGGCTGTTAATCCGTCACCACTCTTCCGGGAGGTCACTCCCTGGGAAGGACAGCTCAGGCAGTCAGGGAGACGGGGACAGCAAACATTAGCCCGAGTCAAGGACAGATGTTACTTTGCATGACTGCAACATCTGCTGGGGTCTGATGTCACCAGCTTCTCACAGTTACCGCCACGTATCTGTCAAGGACAAAAAGCTATCTTTCAACCTTACCTCTAGACACAGCCTCCAAATAACCAATCGATTATTTATATCATTCGCCCCAAGCAGCAGGGATCTGAAATGGTGACGGTTACATTTTTCACTCCCAAGATTTTTAAGTAAGACGAAGCAAACAGAACTTGGAGATGCCCAACCAAAATGCACAGCCATCTTGCTGCTCTAGACTTGGACCTGCTCTAGCTTCTGACCTTGATACCAGAGTAGGGCACTGCTTTCATCCTGCCTATTTTCTAACGTAGCTCTGGACACTCTAGTCTCCTCACTGACTGTGTTCTTCGAGAGCTAGGATTGTGTCAAGTCCATTTTTGTGCCTTATCCCGTGTAGGGAAGGGCACACGCTGTCATGTGAACCGCTTGAAAGCCAAATAGCGGTTATTCAATATAATTCTGTGCAATCTGATCTTCGCTGCTGGATAAGACAGTTCCATGTCTAATTCTCAGCCGTCACAGAGGCCCTGGGACATCAATGACTGCTCACTAGTGGGTGGATCTCGCCCTCCTTCCCAGTTTTCCCACCCTGGTTTGCCAAGTCACAGAGTCTGGATCACTCTGAGACCATCCCCGGAAATGCAGCTCATTTCTCTTTGTGACATCAGCTCAGCTCGTGTCCGGGCGCGAGTGAGAGTCTGGGCAGCATCACTGATTCGCCAAGCGAGGGGAGTCGGCAGCCCTGGGATTGCACTGCACTGTTGTCATTTCAAAACGCAGCCAACCAACCAACGCCTCGCTGTTCTTACCTGCACATGGGGACAACAGAACAGCACCTGTCTCTTGCGGTGGTTCTGAGCAAGGAGTGCTAACTAGATGCCGGCCATGAGGATTCACACAAATGCATCTGGAAATAGGGCACTGAGATAATTCCTCTCTTAACCATAATGCAAGTTTTTTTTAAATTGCACAAAAATTTTTTTCTCTCCTTCCTTATATAGGCTGTTACTGTGTGTTTATAAAACAGCTGAACTACTTTCTTATGTAGCCTGCTACCAGTGCTGCCTTTTAGCAGTTACCAAAAGGGAGTAGTACAACTGTTTAAAAATATTTCGATTTTTTGCTAAATTGGAAAGCGACAGTCTATTGGTGAGCACTGGGACCGTGTGACTCTCCCCCTTTCTGTTGCCGCTTCACTGTGCTTTTTAGGAAAGAATATTCTTCCTGATCTGAATGGCTTTGATTTGTAAATCTTGCAAGCCAGGCAAGACTGTGAGATGACAACAGAATAAAGGTCACTGCCTGCCCACCCTCCTCATTCTACTTCTGTCACTGCAGCCAGCAGCACTCTCCCCATAAAACCCAGTGCAGGGGACTGGAGATTTCAGCCACAGTTTTAACAACAGCGTACAGATGCTCGGGATTTGTTAACAGGCGTGATTTCGAGGCACAAAAGCCCATTTTAAGTCAGATCAAGTTTACAGAGGTGTAACTGATTATTTTGAATAATTAAATGGTGTCAAAACCAGCTGTGATGAATAGCACTGGGGTCTCAAATCATACATAATTGAGAAACCCGAGTTGCATTTGATCATCCTGATCAAATTCTGCTCTCTGGAGGATAGATGTTTGTCCTGCATACCATCAACATGGTTAAATGCCTCAATATTCTTGCTCAGCCATCCGGCCAACAGTCAATTGAACGAAATCACTTTAACACCGCGCACATTTGTTGTCCTCATGCATACAAAATGTTTGACTTAAGCCATGTTCTCTCTCACTGGCTAGCCACCTTTTGGGGGGTGTGCATCTAACAGTAGCATTAGATACTTGACTGGCTTTTGTTGTGTAAAGCGTACCACTTGGCAGAGTCCAAGCGAAGGGTTCTTTCTCTCTACCATCTTTGTAAAAAACAAACAAACAAACAAAAAAAAACAACTAACAGAAACATAACCTAGTAGGCAACCTAATTTAAAATGGGTTGTCTATACAGGGTGGCATTTCTGATAGTTTTGGGGGACTCCAAATCAGTACAGAGACAAGGCCTTTATGTCCTCTCTGGATTTCCCCTTGCATACGCAGGATGAGCTGCCCCTAGGTGGTTCCCATGCACTCACTGTCTGGCATTCCACCTGAGCCCCACAACCACGCGATGACAAGAAGTGGGTAGGTCAGCCATCATCACCGTCCTCCTTTCCATTTTTGAAGTAGAAATGAGACAGAGGAAGCAGCTGACTTACCCACAGAGCTAGAAGACAGCTGAGCTGCCATGAAAACTTGGCCTCGGCGGCACAGTGCTAGCTGCCAGAGATGCGCCTCGGTGAAGAAAAGGGCAGTCTGTTTAATAGCTCCTCATTGACGCCCTGTCACTGCTGAACTGGCACAGAACCCAGAGTTGGCAGGGTGGTGCCTGCTGCTCTCCACCTTGTTTCCGACACACCAGTTCTTAAAATCAGAAGGCTGTCTTAATCCACGTCTTTTCCCTGAGCGATTAATAATCATGGCAACAGCAACAACCATGGGTAGCACCACTTCTAATCATTAACTCAGCACTTTCATACATGCTTAATTCCTTGTTTTCCAGTAACTTTAGGAATGCCGGTGACACTCGCACCCTTTGGCAAAGTGGGGGAAGTGGGCATCAAAGAGGTGATTGACCCAAGGATTCCAAAGTTGTCTCCTGGCGCCAGCATCCTTGGGTGCCAGGCCCGCTGCTTCCAGGACATGGTGTGTGTTGTAGAAATCACGCAGAATCAGGGATCTCGGCTATGACTGCTGTTCCCAGTTAGAATGAAGAGGTAACAAGACCCTGAAACACAGTCCCAGCCGGAGCTTGCTCCCAGCTTTGTGCTCAGGGCAAGGGCACTCAACTCCCCTTCACCTAATTTCACAGAAAAAAGAATGCCTGCAAAGGCTGTCACTGGAAAGAACAAAAATCTCCACTTTTCAGATATACTGTGTGTTTGGCTTAGAACAGAAAAACGTGCATACAAATCTGTGACTTAAGAGCCAGTGATCTAGATTTTCAAACATACCTCAAAATCCTCGGAGAACCCGTGCTGGTTATTAGAATAGAGCTCACCAACGTGTTTCACAAACTGTTTGACAGGAATGGCTTCCATGTCATCTGGGGGAATAAAATGGTATTCAAAGTCACAAGGAATGCTTCCGTACAATACATGACACTGACACAGTGGAACACATTGAAGACAATTCCAGAACTGGACCACCTAAAATAGATGTCCTGAAGAAGAGCCCCCAGATTTGTTTCACGTTAGGCTCTCCTGAGAACTTGAGATGCCTGCCTACCTGCCAGGTTAGTGGTTACCAAAGAAGGTGCATGACCGGCGGCCAAGGGGGTGGGAAGGGCAGTGTTGTGGCACCTGGATAGAGCTGTTGCTTGTGGTGCCAGCTTCCCGTGTTGGAGCAGCAACTCAAGTCCCAGCTGCTGCGGTTCAGATTCAAGGCACCTCAGAGAGCAGTGGCTAACAGCCCAGGTCCCTGAACTGCTGCGACCCTGAGACTCAGCTGGAGTTCCAGACCCCTGGCTTTCCCCTGGCTGCTGCAGCAAATCAGGGCGGGGCTGGGGTGGGGTGGGGGGTGACCAGTAGCAGGAAGGTATCTGTCTTTCCCTGCCCCTGCTACTCTGCCTCTCAAAGACCTCTTTATTTTTACGTAAAGGTACAAACACAAATCCTTTCACATTTTTATGCTCAAGGTCATTAACATAATAAAACAACTGCATCATGTTTTGCTGTCCTGGAAGGGTCAATTCACCAAGGATACATATCGGCTAATAAAGCTCGTCACAGTCTGGGTTTCTCTTTCCATGTTCTATCTGTTGTTTTCAATGGGATCAAACATAGACTTGGACCAAGTAAATCCCACTTCCAACCTACTGAGAAATCTTAATTACAGACAACATGTACCAGCTAGTCTTGGGTTCAATGGCAAGTCCCTTCAATGGGTTAGAATTTTAGTCCGACAGCTGTACGCCAAATAATCAGACTGACTTACTGGACTGTTTTTGATGTTTACAGACTAGGTATAGATTCAGGAAGACCCCACATTCCAATTTGTTGTTGTACTGTCACTTCCAAAGGATATTTCCAGTTCAAGAGCCCCAAAGTGTGTTTTAATTATATTGATGCAGGTACAGTCTGATACTTGAGTTGTGCTATACAACAGCAACATCCAATCAACTGGGGCTCCCCAACCTCCTTCCTCCTTCCTTCCTCGACCCTCCCCCGCAAATATTTCCTTTTAAAAATACTCTGCTGAATTTGAGATAAACAACAGACATGACATTTACTTTATTCAGAGTGAAAGATCTTTGGCAAACGCACAAACATCTAAACTGCCACAGATGCTTTTCTTAGCAAAGGGTATGAAGATCTGTATGTGTAAATGAGGTCCTACTTTGGCAAGAATTTTATAGATCCAGGCCTGACAATCTGATTTCTCTTCATCTGGTGACAGTTAACATTGACTATGTCATTCCTTCTCTACTTGCTTTCGAGAGAGCAAAGCTCCAGGGTGGCTTTTTGCATCTATTGACATTTTCAAACTTGAATCATTCTTAAGCGGAAAATAGCATCTCTTATACTTTAAGGAAGGTGACTTATATGTTCATAACCCAAAATTGATTAGCATAGAAATGTTGCTTATCAAGTAGGTGGTACCCTGTAAGCACTAATTCTTTTCTGTGTGAACAATTAAAACCCTAATCATTTTAATAGGCAACCTTAAGAAAAAAATTGCCAAGTTATTTACAAATATTGCAGGATCGAAGATGTTCATGAATATGCAATCATTTTGTATGCCCAAGAAATCTATAGCTCCCACGATGTAACCAGCATTAACAAAGTAAGCGGAGCCAAAATGTTTCCCTAGAATATTTAGCAGAATGCACGGTTCAAGGAAAATTTCCAAAATTTTCTGATCAATTCACTTAAAATGTTCAGAAGTAAGCAAATTCTGTAATAACGCTCTGATGGCAGTGAAATGATTCTGAGGTATGTTGAACAAAGAGTTTCTATATATTATTAATGTATGTGCATACACACACACAGTGTCTTTGCGAGAGAAGTGCAAGGATAAACTCATCTTTGGTGAAGAAGGAAAGACAAGTAGTGTCATGGGAAACAACCCCGCCAACGGCCATGTATATACAAACCAGCAGTGCTCTTATTTACCCAGGAAAAGATATCACACTGCTTTCAAAAGCACCAGTGATACCATTAACAGTAAAATGGAGTGAGCATGACATTTATTCCACGACACTCAAGAATCTTAGCTTCCCCCAAAATTCATGGTGTCATGACAAAGGGTGTGGGCGGTAACTCAAAGTCAGCGAACACATCAGCCGCAGAGCTGTTCTTCTGTGTCAGGCATTTTTCCAGATCTCCTGATTCTAAGGTAAAAATCATGGCACTTTCAAGGTCACAGCCCACCTTAGATCACTAAAATAAATGCCTTCAGGTTAACAACTTATTGTTCTTTTCTTGCCAAGTCCCCAAGCGAATGTCGCACACACTCAGCATTCAGACCGCCTGCTACCCCCCATGGCTGGAGCTGCAAAAATTTCACAGCTCTCAGTATGATAATCAAGGAAATGAATGACTCACTAGTCGCTCCAATTTGCATAAAATTCTCCTAACATGAGCCAAACGATTGTAAAATTAATGAAACTGGCAGAAGGTCAGGCAATTAGGAGAGTATTCTAGATATGACCTGCTCAGGTTTGGTCCAGAAACATACTATCTGGCACAAGACATTATTATCAATTTCCATCTGAACCCGAGTTTCATTAAAGATTGCGGAGAATATTTCAAGGATGTTACATGTATTAACATGTTATTGGAAGAGTTTCTGTTGTCACACTCCTCTCACTATGGAGCAAGCAAGTTTGGTTTCACCCGAGTCTAAGGTACCTCAGCGGATGCTGCTTGCCCGAGGGATCTCAGAGAAGGAATGGGAAACCGCCTAGGATGCAGTGAGGTCTCATGGAGACTGCAGCTTCGGGAGGTGTTCATACGGGGGAGGAGAGGAACGCAAAAAGTGATGGCAAGAAAGCGATCTAGTAACAACATCCTGCAGAGTACAAACACTTGGGGCAGGTGTTGTGGCACAGGGGGTTGAAACACTTTTCTTGATGACTGCATCCTTTACCAGAGTGTCAGTTCAAGGGCCGGCTACTCTGCTCCTCAGTCAGTCTTCTGCTAATGTGCCTGGAAAGGCAGCACTAATGGCTGCCACTTCAGTCCCTGCCACCCATGTGGGAGACACAGGTTAAGTTCATGGCTTGGGGCCTAACCCAGTCTGTGCTTCTTTATTAAAGTGTGTTAGCATAAAGATAACGGATTTCATATTATAGGTATTTTATAGTTATGATTCTAAGAAATACCTGTACTTCCATCCCTCCCTTTAACTTACCCTCAAGTCTCTTTTTTTTTTGAAGAAAAAAATCTTTCATTTTTGCAAAACTAGTCTTTCAATTTACAGTATAACCACAGACTTAATACACCACTAGCCACAAAGCCCAAGAAGCAGAAGCAGCTCTGGCCCACAGGAGTAGAGTGGGGGCTAAAAAGAATCATCACACCATAAGGTGTCCATTTCCTTGTTACACCATTGCTGTTTTCCATATTTATCACCATGAGCCAGAAAAAAAAACGTAATATTTGTCCTTTTGGAAATGGGTTATTTCACAAAGAATAATGGTTTCTGGTTGCATCCATTTTGTTGCAAAATACAGGATTTTAGTCTTTTTTTTAATGGCTGAGTAGTATTTCACAACATGTATGTATACATTCCACACTTTATGTACTTATCAATTGATGGATATCGTGGCGATCTCCCATCTTCACTATTGTGAACTGAGCTGCAAACGACCCAGCCTTTTGTGCTAATGGGAGTGAAATCACAGATGGAACATCCCTCTCTTCTGACCCAACCCCCACCAACTTGCCTTTCACATAAATAGTACATGGATTTCTGAAAATGATTAAAAATGCTAGAATAGGATGGATATGATGATTTTGGTGAGCATATGTATCATCCGTGTGGTGGAGGTAACGGGAGAAGAATGCCAGCATCAAAGTACTGATAGTGTCATGCAGTTGGTCTAGTCAAACAAGACCTCTGTTGAGTCCTGACACTTGCCAGAGACTGCGCTCAATGTGTTTCATACATTTATCTTGTTTGAATTAAGTGAAAGGAGCTTAATTAGTCTTACAATACCCATTAGGAAACAGGTACCTATTTCAAAAGGTCGAGCTGAGATTTGAACCTGGGTTTACTGAACCCAAAGTCTATACCATGATGTTCTCTGCCATATTGCTTGTCTTCATACTCAAAATCCAATGGTTTTGATACACACAGCAAGTAGCCAAAAATTTACCCTGGTTAATCTGATAAAATATTTAAAATGCTGTATTGAGTCCAGCACGGAAGCCTAATGACTAACGTCCTCGCCTTGAACACACCGGGATCCTGGTTCTAGTCCCAGCGGCCCCGCTTTCCATCCAGCTCCCTGCTTGTTGCCTGGGAAAGCAGTGGAGGATGGCCCAAAGCCTTGGGACCTGCACCTGTACAGCAGATCTAGAAGAGGCTCCTGGCTTCGGATTGGCTCAGCTCTGGCCGTTGCGGTCACTTGGGGAGTGAATTTTCAGACAGAAGATCTTCCTCTCTGTGTATCTGCCTTTCTAATAAAAATAAATCTTTTAGGACCTGGCGCGGTGGCGCAGTGGTTGAGGTCCTCACCTTGCATGCCCAGGATCCCATATGGGCGCCGGTTCTAATCCCGGCAGCCCCGCTTCCCCCCTTCCAGCTCCCTGCCTGTGGCCCAGGAAAGCAGTCGAGGACGGCCCAAAGCTTTGGGACCCTGCACCCGCGTGGGAGACCCAGAAGAGGCTCCTGGCTTCGGATCGGCATAGCATTGGCTGTTGCGCTCACTTAGGGAGTGAATCATCGGAGGGAGGATCTTCCTCTCTGTCTCTCCTCTCTGTATATCCCCCTTTCCAATAAAAAAAAATAAATCTAAAAATAAATAAATAAATAAATAAATCTTTTAAAAGATGTTGTGCCGGTATTTTTGTTTGGGGAATTTTCACATGCCAAAGCTTT